TTCAATTCCAACAGAAATACTCACCACCTCACAAAGTCATGGAAATTAAACAATCTATTGTTGACTAACTCCTGGGTCAAGGAGGAAATACAAAGGGAAATCAAGAACTTCTTCGAACTAAATGATAACGGAGAAACAAGCTATCAAAACCTATGGGATACAGCAAAAGCATTTCTGAGAGGAAAACTAATAGCAATAAATGCTCATAGCCAAAAAACAGAATGATCAGACACTGACAACCTAATAAATAGCTTCAAGAGGTTTATGGGAGAAAAATACCAAATTGCTTAGAGATTCTGTTAACTTATGACACTTTGGGGTTTTGGTAGTCATTTGCCAGCCTCAATTGCAAAGCCATTGCGTTTCCCATTACTTTGATAGTGGTGCTGAGTGCAGAAAAGACTACAACGAAATACTTGTTATTATGTTACTTTCAGTTATTTTCTGACGAGATGACATCCAGAAAGCATTGGATCAAACTGATACATTTGTTCCTATATATTCTGGAATCTTTCCTATGGTTAACCAACCCAGGATTTGCCAGCTGAAACATTTAAGCTTTTGTGAAATTGGGAAAACATGACATATGTTTCCCGATTTCATAAAAAATATGCAATAATAGTTTGGCAAATTTATTCAAAACTTCTCTTATTCTGAGGTATATTTCTATAGAACCAGGTGCTTATATTATTATTTTTTATATCATTTATCTGTCAGCTTTCATTTATGTATTGCTTATCTATGAATAAAATGAATGAGAGTAAAATAAAAATTTCTTTCTAATACATACACATGCATACACACATATTTTCATTCTTTTCTGTAATTTTTTTATGAATGCAAAAATAACAAAAAATATCATTTTCCTAATTTGACATTTTTACCAGCTTCACTGCTATTAGTATAGCAGGTCCTTGAATTATATCATTTAGTTCAACAAAGTTTCAATATAACGATGACCGATTCCCCACCAGGGCTACTGTCTGTGTGGAGTTTGCACTTTCTCCCCAGATCTGTGTGGGTTTTCTCTCGGTCCTTCAGTTTCCTCCTCCTGTCCCAAAGCTGTGCACACTGGTTCATTGGCATGTTTAAATTGTCCGGGTTGAGTGAGAGTGTGTGTGTGTGTGTGTGTGTGTGTGTGTGTGTGAGTGTGCCCTGCGATGAGATGGTGTGCTGTCCAGGGTGGGTTCCTCCCCTGTGCCCTGAGCTGCCAGGATAGGCTCTGGCCACCCATCACCCTGAACTGGAATAATTGTACAAATAATTATCTTGTTTTTATTAATCTTTCTTCAATATATGTATAATTCACATTTATTTCAGTGTTTAATATTAAAAGTGTTTTGGTCTTTATTCAGAAGTTTGATGATATTTTTGTGACCAGAAATGTGCCCTAGGAACTTAACTTTTGTTTCTAACAACCAGCCTATGTTAAAA